TTTGATGATATGTAATTACATTAAAACTACAGAGGTTACACCTATTATATTCAAATCCTCTTGTGAATTAATTTTTTTTTTTTTTTTAACCCATATGCATGTATTTGCTTATAGAGATAATGCATTGTCTAGGGCTAGTTTGCAATATTATTTTCAACTGGAACCGTGATTCAAAACAGCAAGCAAAGTTGATCACTCTTAATCCAAAATATTTTTTTCTGAAAAAAAATACAGAAAGTAAATCTAATGATGCACTAGCTGTCACGATTATTGATGAGTGTTCTTATAGTAGGTGCATTTGTAAAAGGATGATATAAAGTGTGTACTGTAAATCTTCTTTAATTGATTGAACTGTAAACTGTTCCATTTCTTGCTATTCGCGACGGAATGCAAACAAAACATTGAATTATATTTATTATTATTATTTTTTTTAATATTATTATTGATGTTTATCTATCTATTCCACTGTCTTTGCTTTTCTCTCTTCCCCGGATTCTCTGTCCCTTTCTTTCTCTACATCTCCATCTCTCCCCTCCCCAATCCCTCTCTTTTCCTTCATATTTTGATCCTCTCTACCTAATTCACTGTGTCTTTGCTTTCGTCTCTTTATCCCCTCCCTATGTTTCTTTTTCCCCTCTATTCTTCCCTCTCTCCCCTCCTCCCTCTCTCTTTCTTGTCCCCGTTTTATCCTCTCTATCTTTCTTTTTATCTCCCTCTATCTCCTTGTCTCCACCACCCTCTCCCTCTCTCTGTCTTGCCCATCTTGATGTTCATCTATCGTTCCACTGTCTTTGCTTTCATCTCTTTATCCCCGCCGGATGCTCTGTCCCTTTCTTTCTCTACATCTCCACCTCTCCCCTCCCCAATCCCTCTCTCTCTCTCTCTCTCTCTTACCCGTGTTGATGTTCATCTATCTAATTCACAGTGTCTTTACTTTCGGTGCCAGGTAAAAATGTCAGAGGAAAAAATGTCAGAGGTAAAAATGTCAGAGGAAAAAATGTCAGAGGTAAAAATGTCAGAGGTAAAAATGTCAGAGGTAAAAATGTCAGAGGTAAAAATGTCAGAGGAAAAAATGTCAGAGGTAAAAATGTCAGAGGTAAAAATGTCAGAGGTAAAAATGTCAGAGGTAAAAATGTCAGAGGAAAAAATATCAGAGGTAAAAATGTCAGAGGTAAAAATGTCAGAGGTAAAAATGTCAGAGGTAAAAATGTCAGAGGTAAAAATGTCAGAGGTAAAATTGTCAGAGGAAAAAATGTCAGAGGTAAAAATGTCAGAGGTACAAGCAAAACAAATGAGTGCCGTCATAATATCTCAGCACTTTTATCACTCAGAATGTCGAGACGTACAGCTACTGCATGGGCTAGTCTATTATATTCCTTTCTAAATGGATGTGTTGTATATCGTACATGTCCTGAGGATAATATAATGTGGAAAATAGATTTTGAAATTTATTTTTTTGTGGAAGCAATCAGAGAAGGTTAATCATCTAGCATAAACATGTAAGTATTGGTGTGTAGTGCAAGGTTTTGGAGTCATCAAAATGATAAAAAATTTGGCCCAGTTTTGGTAAAGTAACAAGCACTGTACACAGAAAGATATTGATATGGGACTACACAAACATATGGCATACAAATCGGGCAGGCATACAAAGATGTTACTTGTTATATCTGGGATATGAAGTCATTTGAAATAGATTTTCAGGGAATAACTTTTTTCTTTGATGTTCTATCACACTTGCATTGAACGCTCACAAATAATTTGTTTTACCTTTCCCCAGAACTCAACCTTCTCTTTAATTGATGTAACATGGGCGGCTTTCTGCTTTGTATCGGAGTAACAAGGCTGCTTATTGATTTTCTCCCAGACTATTTTATACCGCAATAGTAATCGACAATATTTCATTGCAACGCACGCACTTCGGGAATGTGATGGTGCGGTTAGCATTGATAACATGGCTTCTGCTTGTTACAGGGTATCAAAATACTAAGCCCTCAAGAAAGTGGAATTGTCGGAAATATGCATTTATTGGAAATTACATATAAAAGTAGACATTGCCACGCAGTTAAAATGTCCAACAATCTTCAAATATGAAGGAGAAGTAGGAGGGGGAAGGTTCAGAGATATCTGATCCTATTTTGGGGGCTGTACTGACTTTTCTTTTTATTTAATGATTACACCATGAAGCGACAACTCAGCCTATAAAACATGGCCAAACTTCTCGATTTTAGAAATCTTTTTCCCCAGAAGTTTGCTCAGTGTACCAGTACCATTTGCTTATACAAAAACATAATATACCGGTATATAAATATTGAATAAGGCAGACTAATGGGACATGGATGGTGTACTCCGAGTTTCACGCCTTGCAAGCGGTCATCAGACAACTGATAGCATTCTTCAAAGTACATGATCCCTCTACAACCAGGGCTCAAATTAATTTTTTGTCCACGGGGGCTCTTCCCCCCCCCCCCCCAAAAAAAAGAGCCCCCGTGAGCCTTCTCACGGGGACTCTTTTAGTACTGACGGGGGCTCTCTGTTATACAAATATCCATTGAATTGGTACCTATGATACTCCTCAATTATTTGCTATTTCATCATTATCATTTCAATCAGCATTTTCCCTCTTACAAATTTACAAGCTACATAGCTGTTACTGGCCTGTGTATATAATATATACGCATACAACACTGATCTTTATGATGTCTTTAACGTGACATATCTTCTTCTCCCCTTGCAAACGAGAAAGAAAACAAGGTCATTAAAAGGGATTAAGCGACAAATAATGATTGTGATTCAAATTGATGCGAATATTTGTTTGAATAGGCACTGCTATTCACCCGAATCTTCTTTGTAAAAACTACTTTTACAAATCTCAGCCATGCTTACTGAGTTGAGACGTTCCATTCAATGTTAAAATACTCATTACAGAATACACTTCTCCTAATCTGAAAGTGATCTTACAACACAGTGGCAGATTTGCATGGCTGAGATTTGTAAAAGTCGTTTTTACAAAGAAGATTCTGGTGAAAAGCATTGTTTATTCAAAAAAATCCTTGCATCAATTTGAATCACAATGATTATTTGTCGCATGATCCTTTTATTAAATAACCTTGTTTTTTTTTTTTTAATGATTACACCATGGAGCGACAGCTCAGCCTATAAAACATGGCCAAACTTCTCGATTTTAGAAATCTTAGAAGTTTGCTCAGTGTACCAGTACCATTTGCTTATACAAAAACATAATATACCGGTATATAAATATTGAATAAGGCAGACTAATGGGACATGGATGGTGTACTCCGAGTTTCACGCCTTGCAAGCGGTCATCAGACAACTGATAGCATTCTTCAAAGTACATGATTCCTCTACAAGTCTTATTTTGAGCGTATACCAAGGTTCACCTTGGTATACGCTCAAAATAAGACTTGACTAATACAATACAATAAGACAGCGGTGAAATAACGACTGCAGAATATCCCTTGCTGTTCTTTTTCGATAAGCCTGATATATAACCCGGGTGTAAACATAACAAACTTGTCACATGCTTTTGTTTTTATTTTATACCTCTAACATTTTTACCTCTGACATTTTAAACTCGGACATTTTTACCTCTGACATTTTTTCCACTGACATTTTTACCTCTGACATTTTAAACTCTGACATTTTTACCTCTGACATTTTTTCCTCTGACATTTTTACCTCTGACATTTTTTCCTCTGACATTTTTACCTCCGACATTTTTACCTCTGACATTTTTACCTGACATTTTTTCCTCTGACATTTTTACCTCTGACATTTTTACCTCTGACATTTTTACCTCTGACATTTTTACCTCTGACATTTTTTCCACTGACATTTTTACACCGAGCCTTACTTTCATCTCTTTATCCCCCGGCCCCCCCACTCAGGTTTCAAAATGACCGCATGCGTGTTGCCAAAATGTCCTTTTCGTAACAAAAGAAAAAGGTCGAGCCGTATTGACTTTACACACCGGACTTTTGCTGAAAAGGGGGGGGGGGGGGGTCCGGAAAAAGGCTCGTATACAAAAGAAAAAGGTCGAGCCGTATTGACTTTACACACCGGACTTTTGCTGAAAAGGGGGGGTCGGTTGGAACACGCATATGCGTACCCTAAATAACACTGAGTGGGGGGGCCGGGCTTTATCCTCTCTCTCTCAGTCTCCTTTTTTCTCTATTCCTCCCTCTCTCTCTCTCTTTCTTTTCCTCGTTTTATCCTCTCTTTCTTTCTCTTTATCTCCCTCTCTCCCTCCATCTTCTTCTCTCTATCACCCTCTCTCTCCTTCTCTCTCTTGCCCGTGTTGATGTTCATCTATCTTATTCATTGTCTTTGCTTTTATCTCTTTATCCACTCTTTGTCTCTTTTTCCCCCCCCCCCTCTATTCCTCCCCCTCTCCCCTCCTCAATCTCTCTCTCTCTCTCTCTCTCTCTCTCTCTCTTTCTTGTCCCGTTCTATCCGATCTATCTTTCTCTGTATCTCCCTCTCTCTCCTTCTCTCCATCCCCCTCTCTCTCTCTCGCCCGTGTTGATGTTCATCCATCTAATTCACTGTGTCTTAGCTTTCCTCTCTTTCTAATTCACTGTGTCTTTGCTATCTCCCTGTCCCCCTCCACAACCTCTCCCTCCCTCTTCCTATTCCCCACTCTATCTTTTTATTTATCTCCAATGGCAAAGTTGTTTTGACATAATTTGTCATTTTTGTTTGTATAATTTTGTTTTGTGTTTCGTTTTGCTTTGTGTTTCTTATTCATAATGGAAAAACTCAAGAAAATAAATGAACTGGGTCTTTATCATCACTGCAGGGGAAACAAGATATCAAAAGAACTTTTAGTGTCCCTTGAAATCCCTCTTCACACCGTCTTCAATTGCATCACTTTCTAACAACTTATGTTTGTGTTCAACTATCTTATTCACAATTGTAAAAAAAAAAAAAAAAAAAAAAATTAAAAAAACAACAACTAAAGAAATTATCAAGGGATTGTCAAGTTTGCTTTAAGCTCAATATATTAATGAACATTTAATATTCATAATGGTAACAAAAACAAACACGAGATATCTAACATAAAGAAATGACTTAAGAATCAAATTCTGATAACAAAAATAAATTCTTACAGTAAACTACACTATACTTGCAATAATTCAGATTGTTTATCATTATTCATTACCTATAAAATAGTTTGTGGACAAGGTATATAAACCTCATTTACTTTATTCAACCAAGAGCAAAGTACCTTTCGAATCATAACTTAATTAATAATGATTTTCCATTGCAATAATGTCAAATCTCTTATATTTTTAATGGCAGGTGGCCATTTTGCATGATAGCTGACATGTCGACCAGTAAGGAGTAAACTCTATTATGGCTGAATACAACAAGCTGCTTCAGAGATCAACTAACTTTAACATTTTCAAGTGAGAATGAGAGTATTTGAATTATGCCTTAATCTTTTCTTCTTTTTTCAATATTAAGAACAAATTAAACATTTTCATTGGAATTGATTATCAGTAAATGGGATAACGGATTGAAAAGCATTTTTTTTCTTTTGTAAAGAATTAGCAAAGTGTATGAAGACAAGAAAGAAATAATAATAATAATAATAATAATAGTGGGTTATTGTAATGATTGTAATAAACTTTAAACGAGCACATTTTCAGCGAATTTATTGAAAAATGTAAAGTTATTTTACCTTAAAAGTCACTACAATTTATTCTATACCAGTACTGGGGCAATCTAGTACTGATTATGGAATGCTATATCCCTATAAAAGTAGGAAAGAAGATACAAGGTAGAACATTGAAAGACACAATCACATGTATTACAAATAACATGAAAAGCCTCAATATCGTTGCTATAATAATCAAAATCATTATTTTGTGCATCCATTGAGTCAATATAAAATAAAAAAGCATTTACAGGCATGAAATGGCTTTTAAAACAATCATTTAAAAGTGACTATACTTTAATCATTACAATAAGTGTATAATGAATTGATTTTCTACTTCTGGCTTACACACTTGAATAAATCCGTACACAAAACATCAGAAATCGAGCTTTCAATGGTACAGCGCAACGTTTCACATCAAATTATTTAACAGCCAAAACCACCACCCCATCTATACACAAAGTGTTACTGACACAAAATGATGTAAAAGTGAAATTGCTTTCGACTGATTTGTATGATCACTTTCATGACAAGGAGAATATGGTTGATTAAACAAAATGTATTAAACTTTTATAAAAGATTGGCAAAAAAAAATAAAAAATACACTGCAGTAGGTATACAAAAAAAACAAAGTCCATGATAATTTGTACAAAGTTCAGCAAACTCTATTTGTCTTGCTAGCACCCTAACATGCGCTTAAATTTTCTATGATAATGGCAAATCTAGAATTACACTTATAATAAGAATCTAATATTATGTAATCATGTGCAGCATATGATAGATTTAAAAACATGCTTTCTGTGACACCAAACCTCTAAGACACAAAATTATCATCAATATTACTTGAATTAAAGTATTAAATGAAAGCTTATCCCAATTTCAGCAAATGTTTCATTACAACAGCACAGGTCCTCTCCTATAATAGTGAACAGAATGTTGGTTCTCACTTCTCCGGCATAGAGGGCCATTGAATCCACACCTAGAAGAACCTTTTCAGATGCATGCTGTGGACGTGACGAGGACGACGGGCGGAATTGGTCTCCTGGAAAAAATTAATGAACATAGAAGAAGATTAGCACTCTAGCTTTAAAGCCTATCTGCACTAGTTTGGCCAGGAGGGATTAGACCTCCCTGCATGATCACTGACAGCTGGTTATCTAATCAAATCAGCTCACAATTAACATTAGAAAAAGGGGACCATGGAAGACCAATGGCCTACTTACCCTGATTTCCTTATCTTTCTATACTCATTACTCAGCCCCTTTACATTTTCTACCAAAACCGTTTGGCACATGTCATTTATTTGTAATCTTGAACATTCAGTGTAAGGTTATTGGATTCTGTGAGAATTTATTTTCTATCATCACCAGAACTTAAGCTTATCTTTAATATTTTACTGGAAACATTTAGATAAATTTGAAACCTTTAGTATATCTTTATATCACATTACAAATACAATACGACACAGGGAGATTATTTGTGTGGAATATAAAGAGTTAAAGGGGGACAATCAGTAAAACATATATTGCTGTATTAAGCATTTTCAATACAACATCTGCACAGAGAATTGCAAAGTTTAAATATTCTCTCAAAGACCATAAAAGCGATTTGTGAGTAGAACTTTGAGGAACCAGTGCACATGGATCCCAAGTCTGATTTGTTTTGAAGGTTGATTTTATACATAATAGTTGTAAACAAATTATCTAGGTGAAATTGTGAATAGTCTTATTTGATATTGATCATTTTTGAATTTTTTTTTTTTCATGAAAGGAAGAAAGTAATATACAACCCCAGAGCACATTATTATAGCATATTTCCAACAAAAATGCTCCTTAAAAAAAGTGAATGCCCAGGTAAATATATTGCATAAAGTATATCAAATATCAAATACATCTACATAGAAGTTTTTCAGAGAACATGAGGAATCAAGGCTTCATTACATTAGCTTGGAAGCCAAAAAGTAAGAACTACAACTCCAAAAAAAGGGAGTGGTTGAAAGCTATGTGCAACCCCATAGAAACTCATGACCTTCGACCTGTCTTGTTTATATTCTTACCTGTTGGTCGCAGTAGCTGGGTACAGTAAACCAATCATCGGGTTTAGGGATCCCAATGGTTATGTTAAACCAGCCATTGGAAACAACAGTTGGAACTGTCAAGAAAGGAAGAAAAATAAAAACAATTTACATAGATGTTTAAATGAATATCAATGAGGTTGATTATTTAACTAATCATTCTGGGGATCAACTGAATACCGGTCGCTAATTCATTGGGAAAAGAAGAGTAGATGATAATTTGGGAAGAAATTGCATTTCACTTCCAAAGCTCCAATGTCAGCATTGACACTGATTTGTCCATCCCATGAAAATGGATACAAGCCACCTTTAATACACTCAGATAGAGGAAAGTTGTGTTTGTTAGGACTTGATTTGTGAGCTGAAGTATTTTTATCATGAGAAGATTCAGCTTTAACAAAGGGTAGCTTTGTTAAAGCTGGGGTAATAATAGTACTTTGTATCCTATCGTTCCACTGTCTTTGCTTTGATTATTGTTCTTATTAATATCACCACCATCAATATCATTATTTTAATAATCATTCTAATTATTGTTCTTATTAATATCACCACCATCAAAATCATTATTATAAGTTTGTATTACTATCATTATTATAACTATTATCATTATTATCAGTTTCTATTACTATCATTATTATAATTATTATAATTGTTATCATCATTAGTATCATTATTATTATCATTATTATAATCATTATTAGTAGAAGTACTAATTTTGTTGTAGTTGTTGTTATTACTGAATTATTATCAATTTCATAATCTCCAGTGTTATTTGTTATAAATTGTCATTTACATCATCATTATTATTATCATGATTGTTATTATTATTATCATCATCATTATTATTATCATGATTGTTGTTATCAATATTATCATTTACCTTACATCATCATTATTATCATGATTGCTCGTAGTATTACTATCATTATCAGACTCACCAGGGGGTCCCATCTCACTGCTTGTTCCCATGAACTGGGAGCCTAACGGGAAGCAGTCCTTGTGCCTCACGGTGATACTGCCTCCACCAACCAGAGTGCCTTCATTGTAGGTCTTCGAATAGGAGTCCACCAACAAGGAATCGGATCCGTTGCCACCTATGGACAGGCTGCTGAAGAAGACGGCGTCGTCTGCCACAAACAATGAGTTCAGAATAGTGTTAGCCCACAAACAGCAGGGTTTTTTTAGATTAATTTCATACATTCTAGCTGCACACTGTCACGTTACCCCAATCTCAAATCCATTTACAGAAGATTCATTCTGCAGTACTCTGACACTCGTCATGCTCCATGTACATATTTGTTACAAAATTTTGCGACTGAGCAAAGCAAGCGAGAAAAAAAATTAATCTGACTTTTAATGTGATAAAAATTTTACTTTATAGTCAATGCACAAGATAAATATAGAATTAATTGTGATTACAAATATCTGATGCACAAACATGAGGAGATTTGGGCATCCCATTGCCCAGAATTATCCCCTTTCTAAATGTTACGAGTGAGTGAAGTGAACGTGGGTGGGAAAAATGTAATTTCGATATAAAAGATATAATACATATTCAGGCACCTTGCTGTCATATAGAAGGCTATTCGGGCACCTCATTGCTCAAATATGAAGGTATTCAGGCATTTTGCTGCCAGAAATAATCCTGTTCCTAAAGGTTTTGCAAGCGAGCGAGCGAGGGAGGAAGACACCTTAATATCTTTAAAATACTATTACTTCATGAAATAACATACTTAAGCGGTTCTTATATTTGGTTTTCACAAAATCAATGTTATTCCAAAATAATGATTTTTTATATACATATATTACTAAAATTCTCTCGCGGCACCCCAGTTGAATAACGCTGGCCTAAAAAACACTCAATAAAGATGTCAGTAGGCCTGTAAAACTGATGTTGTGGGTTTTGTGGACGGTCAACCTGCTGAGCTGTAGCCATAACAGAGTTGTATTTGTGTTTTACATTACCTGGAATACAGATTGAAGGTTCTGGTAGGGGCGCTTTTTGCATCATGCAGTACTTGATTTCATCTACGAACAACCACTGAGTACCCTGAATTCAAGCAAAACCAATCAGAAGAAAGATAAAGGATTGTCCATAAATGACAGTTTAGTTGAATAGAGAATCACATTATCATCTGCCAGTATGTTATAATGAAAGCACAACAGTGCAGCCATTATGACAAATATTTAAACGTACATTTAATTGTGTATGAAGTCACATAATCAACAAACAAATGACAAAAATCAGTGAAAAATCTACTGATAACCAATCAGAAGCAAGGATTTCAGTAGTTAATAACAAAAACTGTCGTTTGTCACTGATGACAAGTTTTGTGAAATGGGGCCCTGATTGGGATGTGAAGGTGCACCACTACACCAAGGTTTCTTCTACTTTTTCACAGAGAGTGCAGTGGGTTCATAACATGCAAAGGTGGTGACTTTTAAACCTACAATCTTTGGTTCAACAGGCAGATGCTCTAAAGACTGAGCCAGATTACCTCCTTGGAGGGCTATAGGGGCTATTCCAGCAGCTCTAGGGCCCAAAACCATCTTGAGCCAGAGATTCATTTAAGCCCAGGGGTAGGAGGAGGGTTAGGAGGAGGGATGGGAGGAGGGGGGACGCCCACATACCTTTGCATAATCCTGGATGGCTCCGTATTGGGATGAGGTGCCGTTGGCAAAGACCACATCTATCATGTAGCCAAACTTCCTGTTGGTGTAGTCCCATGCACCGTACTGCAAGAAGTTTACTCCAAGGGGGTCCTGGCCAGGGACGGCTGACTGACCCACAAGGCTCCCTGTTTAGGTCAGAGAAGAAACAAAGAAGTTGGCAATACTTTAATTTAATATTCAATTATTATTTGTTCTGTAATAGAGAATTCTTCCCCACTTTACTCTGTCTTCAGTAGTCCTTATACAAACTGCGATGAACAGATACCGTAGATATCTGCTTGGAATTAGACCTGAAACACATTCTCTGCTGGATCATTCGCAGCTTCAGTATGTAGATTGTTGAAGTACAGTCTTCCTAAGCAATTTAACTCTTTATCTTCCATCTACTTGCAAATCTCAGCTTTCAGTGATACCTACTGGTACCTACTGGTATCAGTGGTATGCAAAACTGCAATTACTAGAAACTACTCCATTTCCCCCTCATGAATCATACAATGCATATAGAGATTTTCCAGTCTCACCAGTGCCTTTGATTTGGAAACTAGATGTTGGCGTTCTCTACAGTTGAAGATTGTAAATGGAGCAAATTGAACATACTATTTATCCGCTTGTTTTGAAAACTTGTATTCATATTAATTATTCAGTATTTGATGTGCTAAGAGGGAGGATGAATGATTTACCTTAGATTTTGAATCGCCCAAACCTTACAGACAGGTTGAAGGCGCTATGGCTCAGTTGTACGAGCAGTGGTCTCTTAACTGGGTTCGAACCAAGTCGATGCACTAGTGCCCTTTGGTAAGGCATTAATCTTCCTAACCAAGTCCCTCAGAGAGAACTTAAAGCTGTCAGTCCCCTGGTTGCTTATACACATGCTTTCTTTAGCAGTCAGGTAAAACAAACAAACTAAACCTGACTGCTGAGAACACAGCATTCTTCCAGAATCTCGGGTAAAGGTAAAGGTAAACTTACCAAGGGCTCCCATGTACTGAGGTGGGCCACAGCATTGGGATGCAGCACTAGCTGATGAAACCAGCACAGTAGCAACAACTAGCAGTTTCAGCATTCTGATTTATAGCTGTAATGATCAATAACAGACATAACAATTTAGAAATACATAAAATAGTGTATTCTTTTGGCTTTGAAAATATGTTCTGCTCAGACTATGTGTGGCTACACTGGACAGGCGCGGATCCAGGATTTCTTAGGGGAGGGGGCCACTTTTTTTTTTTTTGCTCCCGAAAATTTGAAAATCGCGCCGGACGAAGAGTCGCTTAGTGGGAGGGGGGGGGGGGGGGGGGGGGGGGGGGGGGTAAGCGGACACTTTTTGTTTGTTTTGGAGTCCCCCCAAAAAATCGCAACGACTCAACCAGCCGAAAAGTCGCTCAGTGGGGGGGGGGGGGGGGGGGGGGGGGGGGTAGTGAGCACATTTTTTTTTTTTTTGGTCCTCGGAAATTTTAAAATTTGCACCCCCCCCCCCTTGAGCGCCAGGGGGGGGGGGGCCAACCCCCCCAAAAAGGTAAAAATCGCGTGATTTTACATGATTTTTTTCTCAAGGGGGGGCCGCGCCCCCGGCCCCCCCCCCCCCCCCCTGGATCCGCCACTGACACTGGAGGAGGCCTCCGCGCCCCTACCTAGACCGGCCGAAACGAAAGATTCAGTCTCTGATATCGACGGTTGTTCCGCTGAGATTATCTGGCTCCACTGCACTGGCACTTGCACTTGCCGTATATCATCATCATGATCAGCAGGTCGTCTCTCTCGCTCTCGCGACAACATGCACAAGCACAGTTAAAATAATTAAAAAAAAAACGATTTACTACTACTTACGATAATGCACTTCCAGTTTAAAAACAATGTGATGATGATCTCAACGAATTTGAGTAACAATAGTCTAATCCACCATAGGTTCGTTCTTTATATACCCCACAACAACAGGATCACCTCACACGTATACTGATGCTGATGACACAAATTCACGTGATCGCGGAGGATCGTACGTGAGCGTTATTTTTGTTGTTATTTTTTGTTCTCACAAAAGCACGTGTGCAAAATGGATTATAGCCTAAATTCAGGCTGTGTTGCCTTTAAAATATGAGTTTGGTGGGCTATTTATTTGCGTAATTCAAACATATCACTTTAATGAATGATTTATACAAAAAATAAACATTAATTCATGTCAAGAGGAAAACAAGTGGGGAGAAGGAAAGATGGAGCAGGCGGTCGGTAAATGTGTATAAGTGTGAGTTGTCTGGAAAAAAGGTCAGCACAGTTTGTTTTTTCCTGGGCCACGCCCCCTTCTTTGAACGTAAACAGTCACGTGAAATGAAAACATACACGTGTACCATACTCAGTTTTCACGACCCCCCCCCCCCCCCCCCCACCCCCCCCCCTTTTATTTGCCTTCGGGTCCGCCATTGTATATATCTCATAAGTATGATGAAATATCAAAAATGATAATACTGAGATCCCATCTTCGATAGGGTTTTATATTGAGACTTTGCTAAATTGAATGGCCTCACTTGACCGATTCAAAATGCTTCAAAATACCATTTGTCCAGACTTATACTTATACTTATACCTTGAATACCTTGAATGCCAAAGCTTCTGGAAGAAAGCCGTCTCCAGCTGCCAAGCTTCCAGGTCTTATAAGTTATATTAGATTATACAAATTTAATCTATATACAGATTTAAGTCGATTTCCCCCTTTTGTACAGACCCACATTTTGATGACATGATGTAATTACATTAAAAGTACATAGTTTTACATTTAGTCAAATACTCTTGTAAACAAGTATAAGACAAGGAAAGAGACCAGTGACAACATGTACGATTTATTTTTGCATTATTTAAAAAAATTAAATTAAAATTAAACCCAGATATTTGCTTACAGAGATAATGCATTGGCTAGGGCTATAGGGCAACGTCATTCTCTACTGGAACCGTGATCCAAAACATCAAGCAAAGTTGGTATCTCTTATTCTAAAATATTTTTTTCTGAAAAATATACGGACAATAAATAAAAATGATGCACTAGCTGTCACGATTATTGATAAGTGTTCTCATATTAGGTGCGTTTGTAAAATGATGATATAAAGTGTGTACTGTAAATCTTCTTTAATTGATTGAACTGTTCCATTTTTGTCCATTCGCGACGGGATGCAAACAAAATATTTATTATTATATTATTGTTATTATATATTGTTATTACTATTATTACTACTACTAGTATTATCATCCAAATATAATCATTATTGTTATTCTTAATCTGATTGATATCAAATATTGTTATTATAAGTATTTTATGATAATTATTATCATCATTATTATTATTACCATTATTATCATTAGTATTACATAATAATCACTATCAATTATTGATATCGCTGTTGTTGATATTTCTATTTATTTATTTATGAATTTATATATCTATATATTCATTCATTCATTCTTTCATTTGACCTACTGATAACCATTTTTGTAATCTATTACTATATGTACTAGGGACTTTTAGATTTGCGTTGACTGATACGTGTGACGTCCATTCAAGGCAGTGCATTAAAGGTACTATGTCCCATTTGCAGGCCAAAAAAATGAAAAAGTTAAATTCCAACTGCATTTGAAAGATAATACTAATTTAGAACTTCCCTAAAAAAGGTGGGGCTTGAAAATGTCTTCAAGTGGGAAAATAATGACTATTAGTTGTCATATTGACTTTAGGGCTATAGAGCCCAAAAGTAATAGTCTTGGTTTTCAGACAATTGCACCGAATGGTCATACGTTTTATGCTGCGCAAAGATTCAATCAGTTTAATCTTGGCCATCACAAGAAGTGGGTTATTGATGTAGACAAATGCTCATGTACCCTTTACAACTCTGTTCATGTATGTTATTACCAAAGAAGAAAAAAGGCCAGTCAGTCACTCAATAGTGTCTGGCAGTGTCTAGCAAGTAAACGCGTTTCCTCGCATAATTTGAATATGAGGACACTGCTAAAGTTTAAATTTCACAGATAGGACAAACATGACATATTCCTAATTCCTGCAAAGTTCTACAGCATTTGAGGTTGGCTGCAAAAGGGACATAGTACCTTTAAAAGGACGTCGATCGTAGCAATCCACGATGTCGTTGTGCAAATCTAAAAGTCCCTAATATAGCGGCGTACGTGCATACGTGTCTCGCTACAAGCGGTGTTGCATCATTTATGTCTACACACAAGTCATGTGGCTGCCTATATAGGATTGAAATAAGAATATCATTGCGTCATTATTCAGAGAATGAGCGACGTCATGTGGCTGCAAATATAAAGGATTAAAAAAAAAAATGTTTCGCGTGATCATGGGGTCATGATTATACAGAGAATAGGTGACGTCATTTTAAACTGAGTGAGGCGCGATGGCTTAGTGGTAGGCAGTGGTCTCGTAATAGTCCCAGGTTCGAAGTCAATTTGATGCGCTATACTGTCCTTTGATAAGACATTCCTGATCATTACCAAGTCAATCGGAGAGGACTTAAAGCCGTCGGTCCCCTGGTTACTTACAAGCTTACTATAGCATTCACATGTATTCTTAGCAGTCAGGTAAAACAAACTAACCAACCAATGTGCAACATGCTAAAGCGACGGTCCTCTAAGTACACGTAGTTTGCAATTAATAATCACGTGCCTCGATACAAGTGATATTGCATCATTATATGCTTTACACACAAGTCATGTGCTGATATAGGAGGGGAAAAAAGAATATCATTACGTCATTATTCAGTATTCACAGAATGGGCTACGTCATTTTTCTCTGTACGACACGTGGAAAATTAAATGCGCTTTTCGGCGCCCCCCCCCCCCCGTCTCTCTTTCTTTCTAATGCTCTCTCTCCCCCTCTTCTTTATCTCCCTTCTCTCTCTCTCTCTTCTCTCTCTCTCTCTCTCTCTCTCTCTCTATCTCTATATATTATATCTGTCCACTTTTCCCTCTCTCCCTCACTCCCTCTCTTTCTCCACTCTATATGTTCTTTCTCTGTTTGCATCTGAATGTAATAACTTGTAACCGGTTTAATCCATTTTTATGATTAAAACAAAAATTACCCGATAGTAGTTATAAAATATTAAAATAGAACAAAGGCAATCTGTAAAGAAATCTTTGTAAAGTAAATCCATTGACATTATTTTTATTTTTTCTTATGTAAAATAACGCAAAAATCATAACAAACAAAAACAATACAAAAATGAATCAAAATAAACATGGAAAACAAAACAAGACAAACAAATTATCATCCAAGGTCACGGGGCTTATATGAAATAAAACATTTCATGACAAAATTTACTACTATTATTATTATTACTTCTAGTTTTCTTTCTTTTTCTTTTTCTTCAACTACTACTACTACAGCTACTGCTACTACTACGACTACTACTTTTTTAAACAACAACAATAACTAAAACTACTACTAATTTCATACCATATAACAAACTATTACTTCTGCTACTACTGTACTATACGACTACTACTTTTCTACAGCAACAACAACAACAACAACAACAACAACTGCTACTACTACTACTACTACTACTACTACTACTACTACTGCTGCTGCTAAACTATTACTATTACTACTGCTACTACTACTACTGCTAGTACTACTACTACTACTACTACTACTACTACTACTACTACTACTATACTACTACTACTACTACTACTACTACTACTACTACTACTACTACTGCTTCTACTACTACTACTATACTACTAATACTACTACTAGGCCTACTACTACTACTACTAATACTACTACTACTTTGAGTGGCGGCGGATCCAGGGCGAGCCCTCCACCTCCTCCTCCTCCTCCTCCTCCTCCTCCTCCTCCTCCTCCTCCTCCTCCTCCTCTCCTCCTCCTCCTCCTCCTCCTCTCCTCCTCCTCCTCCTCCTCCTCCTCCTCCTCCTCCTCCTCCTCCTCCTCCTCCTCCTCCTCCTCCTCCTCCTCCTCCTCCTCCTCCTCCTCCTCCTCCTCCTCCTCCTCCTCCTCCTCGTCTTCCTCCTTCTCGATCGTCCCCAGTTTTCCCCTTATTATGTTATCCAGATAATTCGAGAACTAAATCAAAGAATCTTGGATTATATACCATCACTCGATATAATGATTTTCGTTTATTTGAAAAAAGAATAGTTATGGGGAAACCATAGAGATATATACTTAATACTATCTCTATGGGGGGAAACTCACTTCGTAGTGTTAGAGTCTGAATAGTGGGGAAACAGTGCACATAAAGCCCGATCGTTGACAAAAATATATGTCAAATTGGCAATGCAGACAAATTCGTACATTTTTTACGTTCCTAGTCTGTGTCTTTGTGTGATCGTGCGATAGATTGGATTGCCGGAGATCGCGAGAAAAACTTGTAAGATTTTAGATTTATTTGATCTTTGTATTTTTGATGTGTATGTGTCCGTTAGGTTTTTCTGACTGAGTTATTTTCTGCATTTTGAGCCCCAGGTGGCAATCATATTCATTCTAATTGGACAAGTAAGCAGTATTCGGTCAGCCACCCGTGATAGATCCAATGTATTCAAAAGGGTCTTGTGAAACCGGTCAGAGATATGATCATGTGTAGCTGATTTAGTAGACTGAAATTAACTGAGAGCTTCAGACTCTGAATCTGATAACGATGGTTGTCCACTGACACTACTGTCACTACGCCTGAAAGACACCGAAATACCTAAACTAAAGTCAAGAAAGACGGGACTCAAAAGGAGAACCAAGATGACAGGAGAACAACAGAAATAACAAAAAGTAAACAAAAAATGAAAAAGTATTTAGATCTAAACAATTATGAATTAGGGCCTAGAGTCTAGACTAGTCTATAAAAAGTTAAAAAAAAGAAGAAGACAAGATTAGAGGATCTAGGCCTAGATCTAGACCGAATTTTCCGTCTCTTTCGTTCGTTAAGCCTCTTAGTCTTAATTCTTATTTGGATAGGGTCGGCTCTCTCTTT